GGACAAATTTGCCCCTCAACTTAAATGACGGAAAAAGAAACCCAAAATAAAGTACAGATCATTTGCTCTAATTTGCTGAAAAGACGATTGCTTTTCTTACACACAAAAGCACAATAAGATGAGAGCAAACAAGAGGGATCAAGAAATGTATACACCAAATAAATATACGAACAAATTATTCTTTTTTTTTTTTTTTGAAAAAATCAACCATACGTAATTACATCAGATTTCAAGAAGATCAAGAAATGTTCTGGATCCAACTTCATTCCAGAAAATTGATTTTTACAAACCGAAAAAGAGTCAACTAAGCTTGGCATAATTGTCTCATTGATTTCAAAACCTGTAGCTGTACAAGTCTTCCTATTTCATTGCCAACAATTCTTTCGTGCTCTTCTTCAGCCATATCAGTGCGGACATGCCTTCATCCTCCTTGACTCCTTGCGGACTCTCTTATCGTCCCAAGGGTCACCTCAGAATGGTGGAGTCTCAGGAAGATAGAGGAGCAAGTCCTCAAAATCCATGGCGGTAGATCGGTTCTACTGTTCGAGAGAGGAAAGAGATGGTAAAAGAAAGAGAGAGACGGTCTAAGAGAAACGAAAGGACGGGAGTGGGTAAGAATAATTGAGAATGACGGAGAGTAATCACAAAGGTTAAATGGGTCATTGTATCTTTATTTACTACCTAAAATGGAAAGTGGCTAAATATTTTGGGACGGCCAAATAAGGAAAGATGGCTAAATAAATAGGGACGGAGGGAGTACATCGGAAAAGAAAGACAAACTAAAAAGAAGAAATTAAAATCTAATGTTCTCTATACCATTAGCATCCTCAAGAAGAGGAATTTTTATCCATGCAGGAGCCTCTTGATTGAAAAATAGTAAGTCCCGAAGGCGCTGCATGAGCCGCATTCGCTAAAACATCCGCACTTCTATTACCTTCTCGAAAAGTGTGTTGAACCGTGACAAACCTTTCATCTCCAAGAAGCTCCTGGCTGTCCCGAACAAGCACTCCTATACTAATTCTGCTCCTGGTTTTATTACTACATCGACACTTGTACACTTGCAAGTTTTAGCCGATCAGCTTCCCATTGATTGAGTAGCCACAGTGTCGCCTGACTGGCCTGAATTCAGGCGATGGCCTTTTAGCATCCGAATGAGTGCTGCTGGGTTGAGACTTGAGAGACCCCCAGAGTGACCACTGATTAATCCCTCCCATTACTAGATTCAACCGGACGACAAAATGATGCTAGTAGATCCCCAAAGAAGAAAATTGAAGCTCTCCATCATTGTTGGAATCACCGCCTCCAGATCTCCCCATCATTGCCCACTTCAGCGCCGGCGGAATTGCCAAGTCGCTTCTCTCCTGATACCCTCATGTCCTCATTTTCCCTACCAAACTATTAGGTTTATAAATAGTATTTGGCCAACAAAGAATGAACCTTCGGCAAACATTAATATCAAAATTCTGAACCATACCTAAACTGTAACGATTTCATGCTGAATATTTTGCAAACCCATATTGAAACCATATCAATATAGTTTCATACAGTACCATAGTGTATAAGGTTTTTTTTACTTAGATTGAAAATTTGTGGCCGTTCTGGTAAATGTCTAGAATCTGTGTATTTTATAACTATCCAAGTCTGGTTTGGTCTCGATTGATCTGGTCTGGGAATGAAAACAGTCTAAGTAAAAACATCTTTAAAATGATGTATGCCAAAACTTCAATGAATTTAGCAATTTGCAATATGGTAATTCAGTAGATGAAACTTTGGTATTTTTCCTAGCTTATAGACGATTGACCAGTGGTAGATAGAAAAAGAACTACACACGTGGGCTATTGTCCTCTGAGAGAAGTTTTATATTTTTCTTGATGGAGAACAAATTAGAACGTGTTTCTAAGAGATCTAGATCACTTTTCTCCAAAAATATTATGGTATACATGTGTTGGCTTAAAACAAAATCCAAGATGTGGGGTCTTAGCTCTCAAAGGCAAGCTATTATAAAATCCACTCTGCTCCCCCTCTATCTCAAAGTATCTTCGTGACATGCAAGACATCGCGACAGATCTAGGTCTTGCTAAAACTCCCGTATTTATCACATACTTCCTCCGTTCTTTTTTAGTTGCAACGGTCAACATTTCACACTTGCCAACGCACATCTTTGACCGTAACTATATCTTAATCTCTATTAGTTAAAAATAATTAAAAATCAGATTTTGAAAATTTGTAATGAGATGAATTGAACAATATCTTTTTTAAAAAATAATTTTCGTAAAATAATACCGTAAAATGTAGTCAAAGTAGAACACGTGAATAGTGTAAAATTCAACATGTTACGATTAAAAAGAAACGGAGGATAGTATCTTTTGATCCCTATTTTGAATCAACTTTTTGAAGAATATATGCCCATCATTGTAATACTTGAGATTAGCTTAGAAGAACTAATAGTAATAATCATACCACCAAGATTCATCTTCTAAGAACTCCATGTTAAGCATACTTGCACAAAAGTAGTACTAGGTTGGGTGATCCAGTAGAAGTTTCTCAGGGCACGCATGAGTGAGGACAAAGTGCGCAGTAAAATCTTGTGTTGGTGTGTAGGGACAGTACCAGGTCTGGATGACATTCAGGAGTAACAACATTGGATTCTGTGGGGCCGTGGTGTTACAATCATTTCTACTTGTGGCGGAAATTGAATATATTCTTATCGTCTCTCACCCCTTCTACAAAACATGCATATCGCTCTCCTTCTATTTTGCATCATTCGTCCAACTTCCTTCTTGTCACGTGCTTGCTCCATGCACGTATTAGTTCTCATGAGTCTCTAGATGCTTTTGCTCACTCACAAATATAATTATGTGCATGTCTAATGCATGTATGACTTCTTTTTTGTTGCAAGAGTGTGTAGCTCTTTCTGCCTCACGCAGAAATACAGATCTCCCTCAACAACCTCCTTAACTCCTTAAATTCTTCTCCTCTGATTCAGTTGCCATCTTTCCCAACCTTTCACCCTTTAGCCTCTGCCTTTTCTATTCTCTTTTTCCCTTAGCCCTCTTCTACCAGTACCCTCCATCCAATTACATGTTACTATGGCCATTCCCTTATGAATCTCGATCGATCTCCACCATCCATCCCATTTCTTCTACCCCTAAACCCAAATATGTTACTCAATCAATGAGGGAGTTGTTATGGCATTAAGATATGAATGGTGAATATTTTGTTGCACTCTTATTTTGTAGTCATATTTGCGCTTCAGTTCCATGCCTTGTCCATTCTATAGTTGAGTCCAAATGGGTGTTTCGTATTTGACGCAAATCAGATGGTACTGTAAATCATTACAAAGCGTGACTTGTATACAAGGGTTATTATCAAGAATTTGGTTGTGACTGCTTATAGACTTTTAGTCCAGTCACGAAGCCAATCACCGTTTATGTCATTCTTACACTTACATTACATAATGTATGGGTTGAGCGCCAATTGGATATTAATGTCTTTCTCAATGAATCTTCGTATGACGAAGTCTACTTAGATCAACAACTTGGTTATTAGAATCTTTCTTGGTTTGTTCATATTTGTAAGATTCGGAAGGCCATGTTTGGTCAACTCTTAGGGAGGATCCTCAAGACTGGTATGTTAAGTTATCGCATTATCTCTTGTATTTTTTATTTGTCAAATCCAAAGCTCATGCTACAAATTTTATATATTTCCTCAGTAGAATTTATTTTTTTATATTTATGTTAATGATTGGTGTTCAGGACAAATGACGATTCTTTTCTAGTCAATTTTGTTCAACTTTTGTGTAACCGATTTCCTCTTGACTATTTGGGAGATCTTAATCATTTCTTAGGTGTGGAAGTTGTTCTTACCCCTTATGGAGCATTTATGTATTACATCCAATATATTACGTTATTAATATACTCTCTATGTCCCTTAAAACTTTGTCAACTTTTCTTTTTTGGTTGTCCTACTAACTTTGCACATTCGCCTATAAGTAAAGAATTTCTGGTTCGAGGTAATTCTTTCTACTCTTCACAAACCTCAATCACACAGTTTGTACTTTATTAATCCTCATGTCGATCAAATTTGGCCAAGTTTTAAGAGACAAAGGGAGTATTATCTACTTTTCGTAAGGATGATTGCAAGACGGTTTCGACTCTATGTTGTTGTTCTCACATAAGCTACCCGTTGCTGATCCATCTGAAGCAGTTGATCCCACGAATTGAACTACCGCCACTTATTGGGGTTGTTTTAGTGCTAGCTTTGAGCTCACTTGTCTACATATTTCATTTGATGTTATTCGGTTATCTCAATTTGTGCTTGACACTCTTATGCCTCATTAGCTAGCTGGTAAATGCATCCTTCAATATCTCAAATTCATTTCTTACCATAGCTTATTTATGCATCGTGGGTATTTCTATTCCTCACCACCTTTGCTCATGCTAACTGGAGTGGATTTTCCTCTTCAGGCTTCTCCACTAATTTAATGCTTATGTAATTTAATTTAGATTTAATATTATATCTTGATAATCTATCTTGCAGCGCTTAGTCCCTCGCTCCACGTACTGAAGTTGAATATCACGTCCGTGCTAATGCCAATGCCGAGCTTCTAGGCCCTTGTTAATCGGTTTTTATCATATAATTACCCCCATTTTGATTAGTTTTAATGAAAAATGTAAGCCCCCAATTGCCCACTTTCACAAACAAGGTGTACATTATATTAATCAAACACTGCATTTGAACTAACACATTATACATTATTATTGGGTTGTACCTCATCCCCATATTCTTTCATTGTTGTTCCCACAACATGTCCATTTATTGTAAAAATTAAAGTTAGAGTAGAAAAACTAAATCATAAAGGTCAAAATGATCTAGTTCATTCATTTGTAGAGTTCCATAACCCAAGTGTTGAGAGCGAAATAAACCTTACGAAAGTCTTTGAAACCGGCACCCTTAGCGAGGACCTCAAATTCTTTCTCTGTCCTCTCTTTCCCGCCAGTAGAATATGCTAACATGGAGATATCAAATTGGATCACACCTTTTTCTGCTCTGAAGGTGTCTGGTTGTTCTGGTAGAATGCACTCTGCAATAATCAGTTTCCCATCATTCGGAAGTGCTTCAAAGCAGTTCTTCAAGAACTTCAGACAATGATCATCACTCCAATCATGACATATCCACTACAGATAGATTATAAATCACATCTAATTAAGCATGCACTGCATAACTTTGAGCAAGTTCAATAAGTTAAAATTTAGAGCAATAAGTTAAATTTAATAAAACAACAACAATAGATAGAGCTACAATTTAGAGCATTCTTTGTAATTTAAAGTTAATATGTACATGTTCAAAGCTACAATATACTATGTCAAAAATTCAAGCAACAAGTTATTGTGATGAGTCTTGGGATGAAATAGATAGAGAATTATATAAGTATTAATAGGAGTGTATTGCTAAGCCATTCCAAGTTAGAAAAATAAAAGACAAACTTATGTATAACAGGATTTAGACTACTTCTCAAGCCATATTGGTTTTTAGGAAGGAACATTAAATCTTAATATTTATTACCACAAAGTCAACAATATCAAACTCGATTTAAGGGTTAATTTTTGCATGGCCATTGTGTTTGTTTGTATGTTTTTTGTATTAAAAATATGAGAGAAAGATTTATTTTGGAAATTCATGATCTCAAGTTCAACCAATTACAGAATTATATGTCGGATTATTGGGATAAAAAGCAACAAGACACCAACTCATGCCCAACAAGCTTGAACTTGCATGAAAGGTTTAGAGCCGTCAATATACAAACATATAGTTTTGACTTTTATTATCTTCAATATTGTTCTTTTATCATTAAAATTATTATAATTACAATTAAAAATTACAACCATTGCAAAATAATTATTATCTCTATAATAAATATTCAAATAAAATGTTGAAACATTATTTTATGTGAAGTTCGATACAATATTTAGCAATTAGTAGTCATGATTTACAAATAATCAATCAAAAAGTTTAAATATATCTTTACTTATATACAATGACTAATTTTGTCACATACCCTCTCAAATTCTCGTATAACTAGTATTTAATATTTTTAATTAAACTTAACAATTATTGGGTTCTTAGTATTTTGATTTCTTATATTCCCTTATTACTACTTATTACTAATATAAATATATTAGTAATAATTATTTTTAAAAAATCTTGTATCATACGGAGTATATATTTTAAATTGGCACGCGGGCCAACCGGTTTAACCCATGGGTTAAATGGATTGGGTTAGGGTTGTCGAAATTTTGGCTCGTCACTAAACGGGTTGGCCCGACCCAACCCACACAAAAGAATAACCCATTACGGGTCAGGTCGGGTTGGCCCATTCGACAGCTCTAGAAAGGTTAATTCTACCTTAGCTTATCTGTGGGATTGAAATTTAATTTAGGCCAACCTAGTTAAAATAATTTTATTCTTGTCTGTATGAAAAGAATTTACTAGCCTAACCTTTAGCTATAAACTATCCTACTTATTAGATCCAATAAAAATATACACGTGTATTTCATTTCCCTTCTTTAACCGTTACATCAAATTCATTTCCCTTCTTTAACCAATCCTTTTGAAGGTTAATACTTTTAATTGCCTCTATCATTTAAAATTTATCACCACTTAACTTTATTTGAATTCTTGTGCACTTATGACGTTGAAGTTAGATTTGTTATTCCGTTTATTTTAGAGTCATCATTAATATTTGCATAATTTTATAAACGTTTTCTTTTATTTAAAATGTCATAATTTAGACAACATAATAAGGTACTGACATCAGATTCTCTCTTTCTAGGGTTGCCGCAAGGCCAACCGCTAGCTTCGATCGTCCGCTATCGGCTTACGCCGAGGAGCGGGGCTGGATTTCCGGCCATCTATTTTATTTTCGGCATTAAGGATTCGGAAGGTGGGGCGACGAGGGAGGTAGGTGAAGAGTTTCTGGTTCGGACCGGCAGCTTCGTGGTGTATTTGACGGGCGTACCAAGAAGATGAAGCAGCGAACGGAGGAGATAGAGATTTCCAATGGGAGAATTCGATTTAGCTGTCTGAGGAAAGCGAGTCTTGTATGGAAAACATTGGGGGCCAGTATAAGAAGATGGAAATCGGGGGTATTGGCAATCTAGCCACGGATCAGGGGTTGACATATTTGGTTCCGGCCCTCGGCACGGGTGATGAATAGACGGGGAGCGACGAAGGGCTGAGCAAGGGAGAATACAGATCGGCGGTCCGTCCCCCTCCTGAACCGCCGCCTTGGATTGATCGAGATGTCGGGTTTGGAAGATGAAATTTCAAGAAGTTTGGAGTATTTGTCAGTTATTCTATTTTTATGGTCTTATTTTCGTGTTATGTTTGTTTACGGTGTTTCGTTTTTTGTTGAGGTCTTTAGTTTTGGGTCTACAATAATGATTGTTAGTTCTGCTAGATAGTATGTCATTAGAAGGATCTATTTTTCCAGTGATTGATGTGTCACACCCGCTTAGTGGTTAGCGATTCACATTGCTCTTTCAGGTGCGATCCTCTTAGAGTCTAGCCATAGGGTTGATTGCGATAGTTGGTTAGGGATTGTTTTTGTCAGGGTTGATCTTTTTGAGTCTGTTGTAACGATCCGCTTTCTAATGGTTTAATATAAGAGTTGGATTTGGAGCCCGTTTGGTAGCACCAAAATCGACTGTTTTGGCTGATTCTGCTGAAATTTATGATATTCTGGCTGGAGTGGCTGTTTTGGCTGATTCTGCTGATTTAAGAAAAAAATATTTTAAAAATATATTTTATTAATAAATTAAAGAAAAAATTATATGTAAAAATAGCTAAAATGGTCCTCTACAGTAACTTCAGCCAATACAGCCAGAAAAGTAACTCCAACCTTACTTTTTCGGCTTATTACACAATTCAGCGCGCGAAAGTAAAAGTTACGTGTTTGGTGAAAAAGCTGGCTGATAAGCCTGATAAGCCGAAAACAGAGTTCTCCAAACGGGCTCTTGATGATATAAAAAAATCATACTTTAGTCAATGAATAAAAATCTTTTAATCAAGAAAGCTTCAATAATTTGCGATAATCACGACTTAAAATAAAATAAAAAACTCTTCACTATTCCTATGAGACATGAAGCCCGAGGATAAACTTTCCTGTCTAGCTAGAAGGGTTAAACACCGTTTTACTACAATGCTATAAAAGTGGTTTATCAACTAGTATAAATAGCACCATTTAGGGATATGTGACAGTTCGATCGAGTACCTCATTAATACAACATATATTTCTCTCTCTATCTTTAGCTCTGCATTCTATCTAGATACAACTTGTTGGGATCCCTTCGTAATTGGAGAGAATCTAGAAAATTTTAAATCTTTCTGGAGAAGTACATTATAAACTTTCTAAAATGTTCTGGAGAATGCTAGAGAAGTGTAGAACTCTTTAGAAGCTTATGGAAGAGTGTGGAACCCTTTGGAATATTTTGGGGATATTTGAAACCTTTAAGAATCTTATGGAAGAGTATGGAAGCATATGAAAGGAAATGGAGAGATGTAAAGATTCCTTGAAGTTCTGTAGAATATGTAGACATGTGTATAGCATTCTAGAGAACTACTCTCCACCATTCATTATGGAGGTAGAGTAGTATAAATAGGAGTAGAGACCTTCATTCCTAACTATCCTAGCCAAGAGAGAATCTTCTTCCTAGAGTGAGAAAGCAAGAGAGTTAGAGAGCATTTTTGAGAAAGAAGAAAGATAGCTTGTGAAGTTCCTATTCTCAAGCTTGAGTGAGCCACCATTGAGTGAGTCAATTTTGTAAATACATCCTTGTAAATCCTAGTATTCTTTTTTATAGTGGAAGAACATGCTAAATATATATATAAATATGTGTGTGTGTGTGTGTACATGTGTGTGTGTGTGTATACTTCTTTCATTCCCTTTTAGTTAGCCATCTTTGATTTTTCCAGTCAAAGATGATAAACTTTGATCGATGATATCTTTATGTACAAAAGTATTTATAATACGAAAATGATGTAAAAAATTTCTTTGTTAAAATACTATCATAAAGGTATAAAATTTATAATTTTCACTAAAATATAGGTGTTAAAATGATTAACCGAAGTTTATCATCATTGACTAAAAAAGTCAATGGTGGCTAACTAAAATGGGATACAGGTAGTAATTGTTAGTAGCTATATTTATACAAAACTTTATTCTCATATAAATATAGTATTAAGAGTTAAGAACACAAAATAGTTTTACTCACATTTAGTTGGACAATTATGCACAAATAAAAAGAAGTTACAAATAAAAATTTCAACTATCGAAATAAAGTTGTCCCAAAAATAGCCAACTGAGTAGCTAAGTCACTCCACATGCATGCCACGGTGAAATTGACATGTCACGTTCCAAAATAATCCACTGTAAATACTTTTGTGGATTTGTGTAAGTAGGTAGATCGATTATGTAAAATGAGCTCACTTCAATTAGAAAGGTGTAAAGAGTATTTATACTGCATTTTTAGATAGTTATGCTAACTAACTATCTAACAGTATTATCTAACTGATTACATCAATATTACAAATATTATATTTATCTTCATATCCCCTCCTCAAGTTGGACTTTGGCTGGTGAAAGAAGTCCTAACTTGGAAACAAAATATTGATGATGTCTTGCTCCCAGCGCCTTTGTAAAGATATCTGCAGTTTGGCAACCAGATGATATATACTTAGGTTCTAGGAGTCCTTGAAAATTTTCTCGTACAAAATGGCAATCAATCCGTAAATGCTTTGTTTTGTCATGAAAAACTGGATTTTGCACAATATGTTGAGCAGCCATATTATCACAGTATAATTGAATAGGTTTAGGAATTTCATTTTGTAATTCCATAAACAATCCATCAATCCAAACAATCTCTGCTGCAGTATAACTCATGCTTCTATACTCAGATTCTGCTGTTGACTTGGTCATAGTCTTTTGTTTCTTTGTTTTCCAGGAAATGAGGGACTTTCCTAAGAATATACAATAACTAGACAATAATCTTCCAGTCATGAAGCATGAACCCCAATCAGCATAAAAAAGGCAGATATCTGAAATGTTGATTGGCTTGGATAAAAGAGTCAAAGGTTGATGGTATTTTTGAGATAACGACCAAGATATAAGGTTGCTTGCATGTGGCTTACCCTTGGTTCATTCATGAACTGGCTCAGTTGTTGGACTGTGTATGATATGTCTGGCCTTGTCATATTTAGATATAAAAATCTCCCAATCAATCTTCTGTAATGTTTAGGATCATGGAGCAAATCACTTGTATCAGCTAGTAATTTAAACTTCAATCCAGTTGGCATAGGAAACTGAGCAGGTTTACAGTCCAACATTTTGATATAATGTAATATGTCTAGAATGTATTTTCTTTGATTAAGCATAATGCCTTGATTATTTCTTGCAACCTCTATTCCCAAGAAATAACGAATTGGACCAGTATCCTTGATGGTAAATGCTTTATCTAAGGCATGCATCCTTTGTTTGTTGAATTTGTTCTTCTGAATTTCCAATGATTAGCAAATCATCCACATATGCAAATAGTGCTGTGAATGTTTTTGAATTGTCTTTAAACAACAATGAATAATCTTGCTTTGACTGTTGGAATCCTAGTTTAAGTAAGAACTTTGTGAGTTCAAGATTCCATTGTCTAAATGCTTGCTTTAATCCATATAAAGATCTCTTGAGTTTGCAAACTTGTCCTGTTTGTGCATTAGGATATCCTTCTGGAATTTGCATATAGACTTCCTCATCAATGAAGCCATGTAGAAACACATTGTTAATATCAAGTTGGTGTATTATCCATCCTTTAGCTGCACCTAGAGCAATCATAGCTCGTACTGTAGTAAATTTAGCAACAGAGTAAAGGTGTGCTTGAAGTCTTTTCCTTTGATTTGATTGTAACCCTTGGCTACTAATCTTGCTTTGAAACGTTCAACAGTTCCATCAGGCCTAAATTTCACATTATATACCCATTTAGCTCCAATGGATTTCTTCCCAACAGCTAAGGAAGTTAATTCCCACGTTTGATTTTTTCCAGTGCTTCAATTTCTTGTTTCATCTCCTTTTGCTTGTTCGTACGAAGTGGGTTCAAAGACTGATAGTACGTTTGCCAAAGAAGCTACATAATCTGTCGTAAAGTTTTTCAAAGATGAACATATCATATTTGACATATGACTTTGATTTACCCTTGTTGTTGAGGTTGAAACCAATGATTTGGGTATATCCTTGCATATATAGTCTTGTAGATTGTGAGGTATTTGCCTTGTTCTGGTTGACTTTCTGTGTTGAACCTGAATTTAAGATTGATCAGGTTGAATTATCTCAAAATCATTCATTTGAGATTCTTCTTGATGAGAACTATGTAGTTCAGTTTGATGAGCATTTTCTGTTGTGGAATCAGTCCTATAAGATTGAACTTGAGAAATAGGATTATCCAAGATCAATCCCGACGGAGTTATGCCATTTGTTGCATTGTCATCAGTTTTATTGTTTTGAAAAGGAAAAATGTCTTCCTTAAAGACAATATCTCTGCTAACAAATATTCTCTTAGAATCAAGGTCAAAAACCTTGTATCCTTTTTGTCCAAAAGGATATCCAACCATGATGCATCTATAGGCTCTTGGAGATAGTTTATCTGTATCTTTTGTAGCAGCAAAGCAAAGACAACCAAATACCTTGAGTGACTCATAATCTGTTTTCTTGTTGAACAACTTTTCATAAGGAGATTTCCATTCTAAGACAGATGAAGGCATAAGATTTATCAAGTGTGTAGCAGTCAATGTTCTAAATGGCGCTAGGCGCTAGTCGGGCGCCAGCCCAGCGCCTAGGCGGGGACTAGTCGGGTGCCTAGAGCGATTTTTAGAACAGTGGTAGCAGTAAGTAAACACTCCCCCCAGAATTTTTTTGGTAGATTTGCTTGAATTCTTAAAGCTTTTGCTGTGTCTAAGAGATGTCTATGTTTTCTTTCAACTCTTTTATTTTGTTGTGGATTTCCAGGAATGCTTTTCTGGTGCATAATTCCTTTATCATTAAAAAAACTTTGTGCAGATTGATTGAACTATCTCAGTTCCATTATCAGATCTAAACACCTTGATTCTTCTTTCAAAATGTGCCTCTATGTAAGCAACAAAGCTTTGAATGATAGAAGGAACTTCAGTTTTATCTCTTATCAAGTAAGTCCAAGTATTTCTGCTACAATCATCAAGTATAGTTAGGAAGTATGATGCTCCAGTCATGGATTTTATTTTATAGGGACCCCACAGATCTATATGAAGCAATTCAAAGATTTCAAATGCTATGGTGTTACTTCTCTCAAAAGGTAGTTTATGGTGTTTTGCCATGATGCAAACTTCACAAAATAGTCTTTCATTACTTCCAAAGCCAATGTGTTGTAGTTTGGACAAAGAAGAATGACCTAGTCTATTATGCAATAACAGTAAAGTATCAGAAACTTTACAAGACTTATTTGCTAAATTATGCAGCATCCTTGCACTCGTTTTATTTGTAGTATCTTCTTCTCTATTAAGACTTGCTTCAAGTATGTAAAGACCATTCCTCTGCCTTCCCATGTAAGTCCCTCCTTTAGTTGAAGGGTCCTGTATATAACATCCATGGTTATTGAAAGTCACTGTTAATTTAGTGTTTTCTAATAATTTTGCTATGGACATTAAGTTGTGCTGAAAACCAGGCACATACATCACTTGTTTAAGTTTGATTCCTTCAGAGAGAATTACATCTCCAATTAAGGTAGCTTTCTTCATACTTCCATCTGGAAGAACAATGCTAGTAGGCTCAGACAGATAGGTTTTATTACTCAAAATCCTCAAATCATGTGTCATGTGGTCTGTGTGGCTCCAGTGTCAATTATCCATATATAAGGTTCATGTTTTCTTTCTTATAAATCAACACATGAAACAAAAGTCATACCTGCTTGGTCAAAATGTGTAAATGAGGTGCTGTCAAATGAATTGTTGCACTTATGAGGACAATTCTTTGATTTCTGAGCAAGGTATGCTTAGATAACTTGCGGATCCATTTTATCAAGCAACATGAAGTGTTTGTTTTCATCTAGGTCAAAAGGACTTTCAGTCTCATCAGCATTGGAATCCACATTTCCTGCAAATTTCTTCATGTTATTCTTTCCAGCATTTTTCACATTTCCAGATTTTCCTTTTGCTCCTTTATACCAATCAGGATATCCTTTCAACTCAAAACAATCCTTCTTGAGGTGTCCCATCTTATTGCAATGAGTACATAGTAATGATTGTTTTTCCAATTTCATCCTTTGGTAGTCAGCTTTGGTTAGTGGTTTGGTTTCTTCATCTCTTCGTGATATCCTGCAATATTTGTTTGCTGCCATGCCATTCCACCTGACACATCTGCGTAACTTCCTGTTATTGATTTTTGCATCTCAATCTGCTGAATTCTAAAGAAGGCATGATTGATGGTAGGAAGAGGATCAATGGAAAGAATTTGATTTCTAATAGGTTCTTATTGATTATCTAAACCTATCATATATTCCATCAGCTTATTCCAATTGTCCCTTTCTATAATCTTCTCTAACAGATTGCAGGTACAAGATTTTAGGGCTCCACATTCGCACATTGGAAGACTATCAAGAGTTTGTATATCTTCCCAAACAGATATGAGCCTTCCGAAGTATTAAGCCATTAATTATCCTTCTTGAACCGTCTGCATCAGATCCTTTTTGAGCTGGTATATATACGGTGCGTTTGTCTGGCTGTATCTCTCCTTTATTTCGTCCCAAAGTTGTTGCGATGAAGTTACGTACATCATCGTTCTAGCAATTTCAGGAACTATAGAGTGAAGGATCCAACTCATGACAGTATAGTCTACTCGAAGCCATTCCTGAAACTCATCAGCTTTGTCATTAGGTTTCTACAGTTTTCCTGTAACAAATCTGAGCTCGTTCTTTGAAATCAAGGCCATTTTCACTCCTCTTGACCAATTAAGATAATTGTTACCGCTGAAGATTTCGTTGGTAATCTTCAGATTTGAATGATCACTAGGATCCAGATAGTATGGATCCTTATAGGAACTAGCATAGTTCGCAACTGAAGATTGACTTGTTTCTGGAGAATTTGGCATTTCGAAGTTCCGATTTGAATCTTCGAAGGTGTTCTAATGGCGGATTTGAGTCGGTTATTCAGAGCTCTGATACCATGTGGATTTGCGTAAGTAGGTAGATCGAATATGTAAAATGAGCTCACATAAACTAGAAAGGTGTAAAGATCATTTATACAGCGTTTTTAGACAGTTATGTTAACTAACTATCTAACAGTATTATCTAAGTGATTACATCAATATTACAAATATTATATTTATCTTCATAACTTTCATGTCAAATTCCATTTCATAGACTTTATTTACATGATCAAGAATAACATATACTTGAGTGTTTTACCTAAGGATTAAAGGACACACATGTATAGCTCAATAGATTCTATTGAGCTATACAATTTCCAAGCCCTATATAAACAACTCTCTAGTGTATGATTTTTCTAACTAAATTTTAACTTTTAATGCATTTATTACTAATATTGATATCTTAATCAATACTAAATTATATCTTCTCAAAGAATATCCTACCTTCATAAAAATGGCGTCGCCTTCGGGCACACTCACAAACATGTCTCCACTGATATGCTCAATTCCTGAACAAATAATAATATGTGATACTTCGACTTAAAATTTAAGTTTTGAATTGAATTAGACTAAAAACATTAATTATATGTGAGTGGGATACCGTGATAAGGAAGCGCATCTTGAATAACGTGAGGCAAATCAAAGTTAATGCCCTTAATATTTGGATGTTTAGAGAGAATCATGTTAAGAGTGGAGCCAGTTCCGCCACCGACATCCACCAAAGATTTGAGCCCTTCGAATCCCTTGTAACCTTCTAGAATCTTCTTCATAATAAGGATAGAGGGATATGACATTCCACGATTGAAGATCTTGTTGAATCTTGTGTCTTTACTGAGATATTCAAATACACTCATCTCATACGCTTTGTTGAATGGTATCCCACCCTCAAGTATTGCTTCTTTTAAGTGATACCTTAAAATTGTGTGAACATTCATCACAAAGCTAATTAATAGTGTGATTAAGAAAAATAAAATAGGCTAATACTGTAATTGTTTAGTTTTGGTGTTGTATTAAAAGATCCTGAATAGGGTTGGATCATATGATCAGTTTCGAGTACATGTTATGGTCTACAACTAGACAAGCATGCTACTTATCTAGCTAGCTGAATAAATCACTTGCTCGGTTCTAGAATCAGTACCACATTATTCCAACAATATCAGTTTTAGATGAAATTGGTCACAAATTGTTGAAGTTATTCAAGCTTATCATTGTATGAAATCGTGTAAGGTACAACTAAGGTGAGTGGGGTTTGTCCAATTAAGTTTAATTCCTTCTTTGTGGGGGTCTTAAGTTGGAAAAATTCCCGGGATATGACTAAAACAAAGTGAGTTTCTCAAAATATGAGTAGTTATGTTTTTTTCCCAAAGTATGAGTGAAAATATATATATAAAAGAAATTTTCGTTATATTAAATTTTGGAAGGACGGAAACACCCTTTTCTTAAAAAAATGCATTTTACACTACTTACGTCCGGGTAAAAATAATGCACTTTATGAAAGAGTCATTGCACAACATTTATTGCACTTTATGTTGTGTTCACGGCACGAGATTTAATGCATTTCATGCATTAATGTGTGAGGCTTAGCTAGCTAAGTAACTCTTGAGGTGTTGATCAATATAATTAGTGACAATTCTGTTATGAGACAAGTATATTGGGAATTAGAGACACTTAATAATGGAGTGTCTGCTTTTGCACATAGGCATATATCTTTAGCGAAAAGTACTTCCACAAGGGACAGAGCCATACATATCATACGGAGTATATCTTTAGTATGTGAAAAAGACTTTCACAAGGGACAAAGCAATGCATTTATTTAATATTAATTATTAACAATTACTACCTTCGTCCCCCTACGTTTGAGACAAGAGAAGGTGACATGATTATTAATAAAAGTGGGCTTATGTGGTTGATAATGAAATGATAAAGTAAGAATAAAGTAAGAGTGATTTAGAACCACACAAACTTTACCAAATAAGGTATGCGACAATCTCAGTGGGATGGACCGAAAAGGTAAAATGGGACAATCATAGCGGGACGGAGGGAGTATTTCTTATGCATAAAACTTGAAATATACTTAATTAATTAAACCCAAATATTAAAAGTATATATGCAAATATGAATTATATGTGTCACACTTTTGTTAATGTTATCACATACTAGGTATATATGTATATATCTACGTAGAATTGGAATAAATTAAAATATCAATATAATTTTTAACTATGTATTTGTGCTCTATATAAAAACTGAAAGAGTTTGGATATTAATATTAAATTTACTATATTTGATAGGAAAAATGGAAAGGAATAATCCCAACTATTACTGATCTTCTTGAAATAATCTCAAGTATCAATTTTCTCAAAATAATCCCAACTATTGAAAAAATCTCAAAATGCTCCAATATGACTTAAAATAACCTTGAAATTGCTTATAATATGTATGAGCGAGCGGGGCATTTTTAGAATTGCTTCTAATAGTTAGGATTATTTTGAGATAATTGATAGTTTGAATATTTCAAGCGGATCACCAATAATTGGGATTATTGTTGTCCATTTTTCCCGGTAAGTACATAAGCACTAAAAAACACATTGAATATAATAAAAAATCGAATATATTTGACCTAAGATATAATTAAATGATTAATGTTTTAATTCTGTATATGCTAGCTCATGAGTTAATAAAGGGTAATTTAGACTTTGCACCCCATTTTAAAAGTTTTTGTTTTTGCACCCCAACCCCGTATGAAAAGACAAGAATGCCTTTCATTAAAAATTTTGTTGGCATTCAACATATTCCTGATTGAGGGGCATTTTTGTCTTTTCATACGGGATTGAGTGAAAAAACAAAGATTTGTAAAAAAGGGATACAAAGTCTAATTTGGACAATAAAATATGGTACAAACTCAAATTATCCCAATTAATAACTGTTTCCATTTCCAATAAAAGAGTGTCTATTGTATTCTCTTTCAAGCCTCTCAACCAATCGATTTACCCCCTGTCTAAAAACGTATTCTATGAATCTTATCATACCTCAAACACATACACAGAGCCGGCGTTTAGCATGTTCAACATGTTCTACAGAACAGGGGCTCTCGATTTCTAGGGCCCCAATTTATTATTATTATTACAGAGTAACAATATATAAAAATACTAATCGATAAAATAAAGTTTCTTGTCCGTACTTTTACTCATTTTTCACTCAAATTGATTGAGTGATGAGTTGTGCTGCTTGAAATCAAATATTAAGTGATTTTTAGAATTTTTATTACATTATTTGATGAGTATTCAATTGATTTCAGTATAAGTATTTACATTGATTTTTTATCTTTTATATTAATATGGGGCCTCATTTTTACGTTTGGAACAGGGCCTCCAAATTAATTAGACGGCTCTGCACATACAGAGTATATAATTGTAATACCATATCAAACTACTCTCACTATGCCCATTTTTTGTTTCATTTTACCATTTCGTTTGTCACTTAGTTTATCTTATACTACACGGAGTACTTAATTTTGTAATACTTTAATTTCATGCTTACATTAAAATTCATTTTTACTTTATTTACATTTTGTCCAAATAAACATCTTTTGTCATTCAAATCTCAGGAGGGGGAGGTAGCTAGTATATACGATAGTATATGTTCTGATTAAAATCTCAAATATAACTTTTTGGTAGTAAATTAATGTTTTATATATAGGTATATAGATAATAACTCCAGTACATTAAAATATATGATTAAAATATACTCCCTCCGTCCTAGGGAGAAGTTCCCGGGTTGACTTTCACACATATTTAGGAAATAAAGTTACTGAGGGGTAAATTTTACTGTTTGGCACTGTTTCGACACTGTTTGGCACTATTTCGACACTGTTTGGCACTGTTTTGCACTGTTTGACACTGTTTTGATGTAGGATAACTTTCCATTTAGGGAAATGGGAACTTTTTGTTGGGACTACCAAAAAAGGAAAGTGAGAACTTCTCCCTGGGACGGAGGGAGTATTAAAATAAATATATGATCAAAATAAAGGTAATGGATATAAAAAAGTGACTTTTATACACAATGACTATAATACTAACTTTATTGACCGTGATGATATTATAATTAATTATATTATCGTGACTATGTTGATACACTTGTAGAAGTTTAGATTTAATTCTATTAATTATATTAATAAATCCCTAACCGAACAAAAAGAAAATTGAATTATATAATAATTCCTTTATATGAAGAAAAATTAACATACTATTCTTAAAAAATATAGTTCCATGAATCTGAAATATAATGTTCATGTCATTACAACGCCAAAACCTATTTCCGATATCTACTGTGTTTAGAGTTTGAACGGGTATTCTAGACACGTGAGAGCATCTCCAATGCTATAATGTGCACGGTGCACACGTGGCATGAGAGATGACCACATAAATATCAGTTAATTAATTTTTCTCTCTCTTTATTTAAATGATTTTATACAGTTTTGGTAAGTTTTTCTCCACAATGTCAAAGAGACCGTCAAATGTTGACATTGCTGTTGACATTGCAAGAAAAAACTTACCAAAATAGTATAAAATCATTCAAATAAGGAGAGAGATAATTTATTTGCTAATATTTATGTGGCTATCACTACTGCCACATGTGCACCGTGCACATTATAGCATTGAAGATGCTCTAAGTTTGAGTCTCGAACATAAAAGAAACTAATATGTGTATGGTGCACATGTGACATCAGAAATAGCTCCATAAATATTATCAAATAAATTATCTATCTCCTTATATGAGTGACTTTATACAATTTTGATAAATTTTTCTCCACAATGTCAAGAAGACCGTCTAGATTACAAATAAATAGGCAATGTTTTTAGAAATTGCCTTGAATAAGAGTACAATTGTTTTGAATAAGACCTTCATTTTTTCATTCTCTAAATATGAGTAATTTCTGCCAAGTTTGAAAATAACATGTTTAAAGACTGATAAATCCAAACTGACATAATTACTCCAATTTATAGAATAAAAACATGAAGGTCCTATTTTAGAATTTCAAAACTTTTGTACTCCTATTTAGGAAAATTTCCCTAATGTTTTGTATTGAAAAAGATACGTAGTATATTGTGGTTACATGTAAAACAATCATTTCCATTCCATAAAATTTGATGAAATTGATATTTTTTTTGTCAATAGTAGTAAATTTTATACAATTCCAATAACTTTGCTTTCAAGTTTTATATTTGTATGAAATCTATGAATTTTATACTTCTACAAAAGTAATTTTAATTGATATTTTTTTTTGTCAATAGTAGTAAATTTTATACAATTCCAATAACTTTGCTTTCAAGGTTTTAATTTATATTTGTATGAAATCTATGAGTTTTATACTTCTATATAAAGAACTTTTTCATATAACTTTCATATTTTGAATAATTTCATATTAAAAAATATAATGGATCAAATTTGACCATTATTTACTAATAACATTGAAATGATAATCATCATTAAGTAGATTAATGTAGCAGTTTTGTTAATTCTTTTGTTTGTATATTTTTTTGGGTGTTCTGTTGCTAAGGCCTTATTGCCCGTCAGATTCTCCAAGGACGGCTTGTTTTATTTACATGTAATTTAAAAATTACGCACATACAGGGCCGGGGATGCTTGATTTATATATGAGCTATGGTGGGCTGAAACTATGATAATTTAATTCAATTTTTTCAAATTTTAGTGTGATTTTTATCATTATAGCTCTCTCCGTCAATATTTAATTAAGCCTAATATAATTACTCTTGAGTCCAGGACATCTCAGATTCACGGATCCACTCCTGAGCATGTAACAAAACAATTCCTTTTTGCTTTATTTATACAATCATCTTCACGTAAATTTAACATTTAAACTACATAGAATTTGCTCAATATATGATAAAAACATACACAAAATTCAAAAATAGGACTAAGTATATGTTATTTCCTTAATAGGGCTTATTTGGTCATATTAGAAGAATACTTTGATTAGGACTTTCCAAAATAGGACTGAATGAGTCTTATTTTGAAAATAAAACATTATATAGGGAATTTCCATGAATGAGTCCTATTCATTTATTTTTTTTGAAAGTGAATGAGTTCTATTTATGAACATTATTTAGGGAATTTTCTCTAAACTATACAGAGTACAGGGAAAAAATTCCTGAAGTATGAGTAACATAGTTTGAAAATTCCATGATATGATTGTTTAATTTTATTCCCAAAATAAGAATAATTACTATCAAATTTGAAAAATACTTTCATTCTTAAAATTTGGTACTGTCAAATAATAAAAACATGATAATCATTATGAAATTTATATAATTTTTTAATCATATTTCGGATAATTTTCTTAGAGCTAGTATACGTAGTACCGATCAGTATATCACATCACGAAACGTATCTAAAGTTCTAAACCAATAGTGAATGGAGTAAATAAAAGTACCAGCTTTCCAGGAGGACTTTGTCATGACTCACGAGAAACAATGGCGCCATGGAAACGCCGTCGGAGTTCTTGGTGAAATACCTGCAAACTGGGGCCAGGCTATAGAGCCGCTCCGCCCTGCCGTCGGCGAGGGTCCGGAGAGAGCAATTCAAGACAGAGTGGGAGCAGAGCAGCCGGAGAATCCGGTCCAGCATGACGGCCGCGTCCGGGTTAGTTGTGGGGAGCTGAGCCGCCAGCTCGGAAGGCGAGACGGCTGCTCCCGGCCCGGCTTTAGCCATCAGCTCCAGCAGGTCCAGCTCCACCGCTGCCTTCAGCGCCATGGGAAGCACTGCAGCGGTTGCTAGCTGCAACGCGAATAAGCTGTCGTCTTCCTCGTCGCCGTCCCACTCGGCTCGGCTCCTCAGCTGGCTTTCGTTCCCCGTCGAACCCATATATATATATATACTGTGTCGTTCTTTCAATTTATACTTTTATTATCAGCGGGAAACTCTTGGACAAATTAAAGAGTGGTTCGAAGGTGAGAGTTATGGGAGTTTGATCATTTCCTTATATAGGCCCCGATTTCAAATGGCATACTTAGAGTTAATATCTAAATGGACGCATTGATTTATTCTGCTCAAATTTTTACAGTTCTAGTAAAATTGATTGCATCAATTGATTCCACCCATTTATGAAAAAAAACTATATAATGATTTGGACCAATCAATTGAATGATAGGTACCGTACCCCATTTTTAAATAAGTATTGTAATTGTCACCTTTTATTTATTACCCTGTATGTAGTATATATATATTTTGTAAAACACTTCACAATAAGAGTTATGAGTTCCTAACAATTATTTCTAGAATTAATTCCACCTTTGTCCTATGATTTTTGTGTCAAGTTCAGATTTCCACACCTTTCAATTTGTCCACTTTCGATACTTGAAGTAAATAATGTTTCTTGACCATTTAACCACCGGAAACAGATGGAAGGACCATATATGAACAAAAACACAATAGTCATATAACAGAAGTGGTCAATCAAAGACATGAGCAAATAGAGGAGTTGGTGCTATACTCTTACGATCAAAAGTGGAATTTATTCATTATTTTTATAATGAGTAACTAATACCTAGGACAATGTACTTATATACACCTATTAGGTAATACTTTCTCTATTCTTTTTTATTTGCATCCTCTCCAATTTTATGTTTGTCAATGCACAATTGTGTTAATAGTAAATAATTATTAGTAAAAAAGATTAAAATTAAAATTTATTAGAAAAGATTTTAAAAAATTAGTAAATTTTATTCCTTATTAGTAAAAAATTAAAAAAATGAGATTTGAAATTATTAATGAAAAGAACTTAACAACATTTTAATATTGTTTACAATATTACAAATAAATTTAAAATGAGAGGAATTTAATAGATTTGATGATATTATTGTTTTAACATGTAAATTGACAATGTTTTTGGTAAGATATTACGATGTACTTCGTATATCTTTATTCATGTAAGTTGACTATTTATAGATAGGTTTATACCATAAAATCCATTTGTTATCATATTTTATTATTACGGAGTATTACGTACTATATTAATTTTTGTTACACACAAATATCCATATATATCTATATGCGTGTGTATTGTATGTCTGTGTATATTTGATCTTAAAGTTAGGTCACATTATCCACCCTGTAACAAGGATCATTGATACTAATTAATAATAACCATGGACAGAGCTACCTTGTAGATTATGGTGTAGGTCAAATGTCAATTGATGAAACCACTAATTAAATAAAAAAAATGTGTATAGCTAGTATAAGTATATATATATATGTAACAATCTCAAATTTTCACGTTACAGGATAAGAGTTAACATATTTTTTTAAAAATAGTACGACTATCAATTTAAAATAAATGAATTGATTTGAAAAAAATTAACCTTAAACAAGTAGATATAAATGGGCGTGTGGTTTGCAAATTAATAAAATAGACAAATTGTTAGAGCTACGTGGTTTCATTTGCATTTGCAAATTGGAATAGCTCCAAATTAAGAGACTACAGAAGAAGCCCGCAACAAAATATATATAGTCATTATTAAATTAATACTCGTGCAAATGCCATAGAAAAACAGACAAGTATATCAGTATATGTGCAGAATATTACTACTATACATGCTTCCAAAGACACAATTATTTTCATGTGGGGATACATGTGTCAACTAACCTGCATGTTCTACATATAATAGTAATGATGATGACGACGACCGTAACGGTAATAGTTTAGAATATATATATATATATATGTAATATAATAATTAATATTTTAATATAATTGGGGTTGTATATTATTTTTAGGGTTCATATAGTCTTAGACCCTTAAGAGCATCCTCATTGGTAAGATTATCATAAGATTAAATTAGTGACATGCAATGGCAGATTTACCCTTTATGTTTTGGGTGTTCAAAAAATCCAATTAAAATTAATTGGAATACGCGCACGGAATTATGGAGTATTGATTAATAATTTAATCAGCTGAGTGGATTTTTTATTAACACAACTAAATGAAGCAAAAACATCCTCCTAATTTAGCCACTGGGTTATTTATAAAGTGGGAGTTAAGAGTCATCGTCTTATATGAAGCTTCAAATTCATATAAAGTGGAGTTAAGAGTCATCATCCTATGAAGCTTCAAATTCATAGGTAGAGCAGAGACTGAATTCGTTGAAACAGAATGATAAGATAACTCAATCTCAATAACTCAATCGAGAGCAAAGAGATCCCAACTTCCGATTTGGCAGACGACGATTAGAACTTTCGAGATAGAGGAGCGACCTGCAATTCTTCTTTGAGTGGCTACTAGTCTACTGTAGCTGGCTACGTAGTGGAGGCGTGGACAGGTTTGGCAAGCTTCTAAAACGCAAGTGATATTTAGGGAGAAACCCAGAAACGGTACGTGGGGCATTATTTTTTCAGAGAATAACAAAACGACGACGTTTTGATGCTAAAATTGAGATTTTTGGGTGTTCACATGAACACTCTTGAACAACCTCAGCTCTGCCCCTGGTGACATGACAATTTTTTTTTAGAGAATTATCATTACGTGATATAGATTATTTAATGGGATTATTTGCTAGAATAATCCGGGATCAAAATATGAATCCGGATTATTTTAAGATTATTTGAAATATATATGTAATGAAGATTAATGCAGGACACAGAAAAAGTAGATTATTTGAGGATGATGTTTGAGAGACATAAACGAATTTTGAGATTATTTTAAAATCAATTGCATTACAATATTTAAATTGTAAGAATCATAGAAAAATTTGATTATTAGAGATCATGAATGGAGTTGCTCTAATTGGTTTAACGATAGACTGAACCTATGTTTATGTCTGTCTAGAACTAGTACGTGTTTCCAACTCTCTCACGTAGTCACATGTCTCTATTTTTTTAAAGCGCCAAGCAAGTATTAGGGAACGAAAAGTACCGAGTAGTAATAATACAAAATATATGTGCATTAAAAAGGCCAGAATGGATAAATTCTGGTTTATCCATTAATGTGTCTCTATTTTTTTTAAAGCGCCAAGCAAGTACTCCATCCGTCCCGTAATTAAGTTCCTACTTTTCTTTTTGGGATGGTTCATATTAAAGTTTCTACTTCAAACCTTTCCTTATTTGGCAAATGATTTCCACCAATACAGTGTCAAACAGTGTTCAAACAGTGCACTCCACAGTAAAGTCAAATTTATTTCTTTTTTTTTTTTGGATGAAATGTAAATATATATTAACACCCAGAAAAACTTTACATCATATAGCTAAGATCTCCTAAACCCCCCCCAACCCCACATAATGTGGGGTGAAGAGAGGTTTTTCTTCGATCTTATCTATGGAAATCACCAAGTAAACTTGGCCCATCAAAATAATCAAAACATAGCGGTGCTGCCAAATTGCACACACCTATCGGAGGCTACAAAAAATCCAAATAAAAACGGGGTGCCGCAAGGTACATACACCCACATAAAAAATCACGATATCCATAATCTCCATATCGTGGTATCCTAGTTCAGAACTTCACCAGATCATGCGGGTAAATACTGTAAAGTATTTTATACACCACATGCTTGATCTTGGCTACCACATCATCTTCAGTCTTCATGCCTTCATCAAATCTTGCGTTATTCCTAGCTTGCCAGATATGGTAAACCGTCGCACAAAAAGCAAGCCGTCCTGTCTTGGCCTTCAACGTTGATCCCTTGCGTTTCTTAGAAATCCATTTTATTGCACTAAGGAGTGTATTCATCTGATTCCCAAATCCGACCCATGCCCTAATTTTGTCCCAAACTCTGCACGCAAAAGGGCAACAAAAAAAGAGGTGTGGAATTGTTTCCAATCCACCCTTGCACAGATCACATCTATTAACAATATAAAGGTATCCGAGACTGTCCTGTGTAGGAAGTCTGTTCCTCAAAGCCAACCATACATTAAAAGAGAACTTCGGAGGGATGTAGGATTTCCAAATGAAGGTCATCGGGGTCCTAGGGGTCCCTCTTACTCTTAAAAGTTCATATATTTTTCCCGACACCAATTTATCATTGATGCATCTCGCATTTAAACCTAGTATGGTGTCATTTAAGTTATTAAAACATCCTCGCAGTCTATCTCGGATGAGACCCAACCTCTTCATTAGTTGAGAGTCTCGGCTATGTGGGACAAAGTCCCACACATTTTTATCCCGAAGATACACTCCATTAATCCACCGAACCCACAGGGTATCCTTTTTCCTATGAACATCCCATAGTGTGCGGGCCAAAAGACTATCATTCCAAACTTTGGCATTGTGGATGCCAAGTCCACCTTCCTCCTTTGGGAGACAGATGTCATCCCACGAGACCTTGGAGTATTTCCCACCCCATAGGAAAATTCTACAAATCGATACTATCCTATCCAATATGGTTCGAGGAACCGGGAAAATTTGGAGCCAAAAAGATTGAACCCCTTGAATTACCGAGCGGATTAGTTCAATTTTCCCGGCATAAATTTGACTGTATTCCAAGTCAAATTTATTTCTTAATATATGTGAAGTCAAACTAGGAACTTAATTAAGAACCGGAGGGAGTATTAGGGAATGAAAAGTACGGAGTAGTAATAATACAAAATATATGTGCATTGAAGAGGCCAGGTTGGATAAATTCTGGTTTATCCATTCAGGTTTAACGATAGCTAGGCTGAACCTATGTTTGTGTCTGTCTAGAACTAGTGTTCCCCAACTCTCTCATGTGTCTCCAGTGGCGGAACCAGAACTTTTTTTGAGCCGGTGCTGAGAAACATGCTCTGATGAAGCATCAATACTACTAAAAAAACCCATAATTAATTAGGATGTTTTTACTTGGACTGTTTTTCGGACCGGATCCGAACTGATCAGACTAGACTAGACCATACATCTATCAGACCAGACCAAATTAGATTAAAAAAATATTAATTTAATTAAAAAACATCTTTAATTCTCAAAATGGACACGATCTCTACTCAAAGAATCAAAATCACAAATAGATTTACGTAAACCTTAATCA